GAAAGAGTTCTACAAGCACATCTGAAAGCAGTGCTTCTCAATGGTAGTGCAGGAGAGAACTTGGTTCTGAACAGAACATTCGGTAAAAACCTGGCAGGGATGCTCCTGACATCTAGTGGGTAGAGGTGAGAGATGCTACCAAATGTCTTACAATGCCCAGGACAGCCCACATCCCCTCCCAACACAGGATTATCCATCCCCAAATCTCAATAGTGCCAAGACTGGAAAATGCTGTTGCAGGTAGAACATTAGGCATGTAAGGTACTTCCTACTTGATACTTCTGGGGTCAAATGTATTTGGAAAATTTTTTGTTAGCCTTTCCATGATTTTTACTATATTGCATACCAATGGCTTTGAGAGTCCTGGAGAAAACAAAACTGTGTTTAGCCTAGTACATCTTAAAAATCATTAGTGTACGAACATTATTGTTGTTGTTTAATTTAACATCTCTCAAAGTCAGTGCTTGAAAAATACACTGTAAAGTAGAAATTAATATTGATTGTATACAGCACTTACAGAGGAGATACTTCTGAGAAAAGTGTGTAGAGAAACAGGGTCCTATTCATGGTAAGAGGTTGACGGTATACCAGCATTAAGGGCACTATTGTATCTATCCACTGGCCTTGTACCAGCCTTGAATGAATGTAAGTCTGCCCGACATGGCAACTCTTCTACCTTAGGTCAGAGAAGAGGGAAGGGCCCTGTCTTTAGCCAACTCACTCAGACCCGTCTATGCTTAAAATCTAAAGAGAATGCAACTCTTGGGGCTATACAATTCTGAGCCCAATGATGCTGAAGGGAAAGGTTTCAAGGTAATTTACCAGCAACCACAGACAACCTCATTCCAGTAATAGTGGCTTTGATAACAAAGAAGTCATTATTTTTTCAGAATATGTCCATACATATTTCATTGTCAATTTTTAAAATGCTTTCTTCGGTACAACTGTACAATGGCAAAGCATTTGCTGGAAGCACAATCCAGCCATGTCTACTTTTGATTCAGTATTCACTTTTTTACAGAGGGCAATACAAAACAACATGTCCAAAAGAAACGCAAATCAAAGAGGGTAAAAAGCAGCTGGTGATGGGTCTGTTCTTTAGAAATTGATGAGAATGTTTTTATGGAAATTACATCTTCTAAACCTGTATAACTTCACAGAAAGAAAAAAAAGAAAGAAAGAAAACGTAAAGAACACTTACTGGATACGTGGAGCAAAAACTAAGGTACTTAATACCACCACTCTGAAATAGTGGCCAAAATCCTAAGAGATTCTCCTTTGTGGTCTTCTTTTTAAATCAGCTCTCAGAATTTTCCCAAAGACAAACACTGAATTTTTTTTAAAAGTTAATGATTACACCCCAAACAATGAAACATCATTTTAAAATGTATTTTACCTGGTAGATAAAACCACTCATCCTAGGACTGGCAGACAGCATCAGCAAAATATTTGGGAAGAGCAGAAGATATCTTTCATTCTTTTCCTAGTGCAAACAAACAAACAAATGAAAAAAAAAAACATGTATAACTGTGAGCACAAATAGCTGCTTGACTCTAGAGGCCCATGAAACACTTTATTCCCTGTTCACGTTTCCCTCTTCCACATTCTCATAAAGTAAATAGGAATAAAAGCTTAATAAATTGTACACCAAGTATTAACATAGGATTAGAGAGTTTCAATATACAGGAAAGAAAATAGGCTATAAACTTTTCAAAAGTAAAATATTAGAAAGCAAGATACACTCTTAAAAGATCTTGGATTCATCTTGTCCAACAAACACACATGTGGTCAATGACTTCAGCATTGTCATTAAATATAATTGGTTAATCAAAATTTCCGTTTCATAGTTGAAAGAGAGGGAGAAAAATAAAACACTTGTGGGATGGTTAATTTCATGTCAACTTGATAAATAAGTATAGGGGTGGAGTCTATCTAGCCTGTCAACCAGGTCACAGCCTGATGATGCCTCATTATGGGCGTGGCCTTCTTATTAGAATTCTAGGAACTTCCTCTCTCTTGATTCGCCATCAGAAGAGGCGGCCTCTCCCTCCCTCCCTGTGCACGAGTCATGTGGAACTATTCTGGGACTCAAGCAAGCCATGTGGCAGAGACCTGAGGAGACAGCCCTGTGATGCTTCCACTGCAACTGGAACCACACGAGTGTTCATCCACCGGCCTGTGATCTTCCTGCGTTCATCATCACTGCAAGTGGCAATGTGTCTCTGAGAGGAACTTATGGACCAGTAGCAGACATATGGGCTTGATATTTTCTCAGTACACAATTGCTCTTTGAAATAAAGCTTGTTTTGTTTCTCTACTCAACCCAGCCGAAGACAACTTATAAAATTTTAGGGAAGGGAAAGGACCAAGCATATCCCTGAAGCTTACAGGCAAAATCCAATGTTAAAATCGATTTGTTCTATTAATCCTGGCATTCTCTAAAACTCCATGGCATTCCAATTCAGTGCTGCTTTCATTCACCTATCCTATAAATTTGATTTACAGGATCAGGCAGTGTCTACTGTACACAGGGTTGCTATGAATCAGAACCAACTCCATGGGCACATAACAACAATAACACCTTTCTGGTGAGCAGCCAAGTGCTTAACCATGGCACCACCTGAGCTCCCTGCAGCTGACGAAAGTCAAACCAAACCCATTGCCATTAAGTCCACTCTGACTCTTGGTGACCATACAGGGTAGGGTAGAATTGTGCACAGGCTTTCCAAAGCGGTCGTCTTTATGGGAGATTGCCATGTGTTGTAGCAGATCAGGATGTAATGATTTAATCTGGTATCTAAACTATAATACTTTCATACCTTAGTAAAGGGGTGGCATCATTTCAAAAATATTAAGTGGAAAGAAATAAATATATTTTGAGTGTAAATTTCAGTTTTCTTATTCAACAAGGAGTTTCATGCTTGAAAATGGGTCAATAGCATAATAATCCATTTATAAATATATAAATACACACATATATATGCCAAGTTAGTGATTTTTCCAAAATTAGAATAAAAAAAGCATTCATGTACCATGAAAGAAAAACTACTCAAGTTTCACTGCGTGGGGGATGTCAAAAAACACAGGCTTAATCTCTAATTCTAACTAAGTGCACATAAGAAAACTTTATGAAAGATTAGCAATTCACATTAGAAAACTTAAGAAAGATTACCAATTCACATATACTAACAGAACAGTATAATGTAAACAGTTGAAAATATAATTGTCTAAAATGACAGCTTGGATAGATGATCACATCCTTAAGACCCATTCTGTGGCCAACTGTGGCACAGCCTTAAGACCTATCTGTATAAACCCAGCTGTGGTACAGCCTTAAGACCTATCTGTACAAACCCAACTGTGGCACAGCCTTAAGACCTATTTGCACAAACCCAACTGTGGCACAGCCTTAAGACCTATTTGTACAAACCCAGCTGTGGCACAGCCTTAAGACCTATGTGCACAAACCCAACTGTGGCACAGCCTTAAGACCTATCTGCACAAACCCAACTGTGGCACAGCCTTAAGACCCATTCTGCGGCAAACTGGCACAGCCTTAAGACCTATTTGTACAAAGAGACCTGAATACTCATGAGACTTTTGATCCACAATCTTGTTTAAACACTGTGACTATCCTTGCATTCATGAAACAAATAAATAATATTTTAATGGTAAAAGTACATTACCATTCAGAAGTGTGGCTTTTCAAAAAATGGTACGATCTATCTATTTGTAACAATGATTAAAGTTTCTTGGAGATGTTACAGAATAAATAGAATAAGTCTCTATTTCTCTAGTGGTTACTGACTATCTCAATTATAATTAAGAAACAGGCTATTTCTATTAGAAATCAAAGTAACTATAGCTCCATCTGAACTGCGCTAATTTCTGTGGAAATTTCATTATGAGGCAATTATGTTATTGGCTTTCCTCAAGTGGTATCACACACAGTAAACCAGACAGATTACTTCCCCAGAAATACAGATGCATTATAGAAGAATAATCCCTATCATTAAGAGCTTACTACGTGCCAAACACTAGAATGAATATATAGATTAGTTCATACAATAAAGACTTTGGACCATAATTGACCTTGGGGTTAGCTTCAAAAGAGCAAGACTTTAAAATGTGGATTCTATGACATTTTATTACATCCTTGAGGAGCCCTGGTGATGCAGTGGCTACGAACTGGGCTGCGATTCACCACTGTGATCAGCAGTTCAAAGCCCCCAGACGCTCCCCGGGAGAGAGCCAGGGCTTTCTGCTCCCGTCTACAGTGACAGTCTCCGGAGCGCACGGGGCAGTTCCAGCCTGTCCCATAGGATCGCTACGGGTCAGTGTCAACTGGATGGCAGTGAGTTTGGTCTTTGGAAGCTAAAAACTCCTGCATTTGTCGAGAAAAAAAATACAGTAATTTATGAAATAGAATTCCTACTCAATTTAACTTGAAATCACTTGTTGTTCTTTAAATATTGCATTACAGTACATAAAAATATGACAATGAAGACCACACTGAGAAATCTTTTAAAAATATTTACAAATCAGCTTTAATAAAAGTTATGACCTTCTGCTTTTAACTTAATTTTTACCCAAAACATTTTAGTCATCGTTTCAGGGAAAACAGCTCAGAGACTAGAATAAAAGCAAAGGTAGCTCAGCAAATATATCCCTGATGTTCCCGTGTGGGCTTCCTTCCATTTTCATGTACATGCAATCGTCTTGGAGAGGTGACACACATCCCGTGAAGGACACACAGTACCTCACTCCCGGCACACTGGATCATGACCTGCGACATGTAAATGACATTGCCCAGGGTCTTGATGTCATCTCCCTCCCAGCTGCGGATCGCTTCGGTGAGGATCTGCAGCTCGAGCTCTTTCCTCTTCCGGACTTCCTGACACTGGGCCTGAGGGGCGCAGCACATCGTGCAGAGAGAGAAAAGCATGCAGAGCCGAGAGTTTAGGTCATTTTCTTCTGAAGTTTATTTCTCCATAACACGAATAATAAAATGCACTTCAGTCACAAGTACAGATGCACGTCAAGGGCAGGAAAACAAACTGTTCTAGAATACTAAACGCCTTTATTGAGAACATTATAGCACACCTTGCTACTTTTAGGAAGAAGAAATGTAGATGAGATAAAAAAAATACATTTTCTGTTTTAGGTAATGCTTGCCAACATAGAAGAGAAGAGAGAAAAATATGGGAAGAATAATATGTGCTATTCATAAGATGCATTCTTTAAGAACATGGTTGGTAAGACAATATGGCAACAGATAAATCAGAGCCACAAGTATTGTTGTATGCTGTGTGACGAGAAACAATTCAGATGGAGATTTAAAAAATTGCTGCAGAATCATTTTTAATAGGTATAACATGAATTGTTTCATGACACATTTTTAAATAAAAAATTTATTCATCATACATGGTAATTTACTAAGCATGTGATTATCTATCGTTAGGCGCCATCCAGTTGTCTCTGACTCATCATGAGCCTGCGTACAAGAGAAGGAAACACTGCCCACCCTGCAGTCTCCTTACAAATGTTGCCGTGCTTGAGCCTTCGGCCTCAGCCATTGTGTCAATCCATGCAGCATTCCTCTTTTCCACTGAACTTCCGCTTTACAAAGCAGGGTGCTCTTTTCCAGACACTGGATCTCCTCACAACATGTCCAAAGGACGTAAGACAAGATCTTACCATTCTTGCTTCTAAGCCGCATTCTGACTGCATTTCTACCGAGACCGATTGGTTTTTTGTTTTGGGCAGCCCGTGGTACAGTCAATATTCTTTGTCAACACCATAATTCAAACACATCCATTCTTCTTTGGTCTTACTTTCTCATTGTCCAACTTTCAGAATATGGGGAGACTGGAAATTCCCTGGCTAGGGGATCAGGCACACCTTCGTCTTCAACATGCTATCTTTGCTCCTTAAGTCTCTTGCAGGCGTATAAGATCAAAAATAACAAGGTGCTCATACCTTGGAATAATCAACCATTTTAGAATACCCCAGGGCAAAGTTCAGGAGGTTTAGGAAAGGAGGAGGATGTAAACAGAAAGCACAGACAGGCAGTAGGTTCAGTAGTAGATCTTACATTGTGGAGATTACAATCAATGGCATGAGACAAAAAGTGTATACATTGAATAGACAATTGATCTGCTTTGCAAACCTTCAAGCAACTCACAATGAAATGCTAATAAAAACATGTCATTTACAACAGATCTGCCTAGCGTATACGTCCTTTGATTTCTACACTGCTGCTTCCATAGGTGCTAATTATGAATCGGAGTAAAACAAAGTCCTTGACTTCAATTTTCCTTCATCTATCATGATGTTATTTATAGATATCATCGTGAGAATTTCTGGCATCTTTACATTAAGATGCAAACCATACGGCACATTGCAACTTTTGATCTAAGTAACGGCTTCATTTCCTCTTCACTTTCATCAAGCAAGGTGGTGTCAACTGTATACTGCATTTTATTGAGTTTTCTTCCAAATCCTAAAACCAACAATCTTCTTCATATAATCCAACTGCTGAGATTCTATGTTCTACCTACTGTATGCTTATTACTTCATTTGAGTAAAGCATTGAATTCCATTCCATAAGTAATTTTTTATCATGTAACTTTTCAGCTGTCACACAATGTGTCTGCATTTATTTGCTATAATAATGTCGATAAAAGATAATCACTTACCGAAAGGTTTTTGAAGGCAGTCATGGATTTTTGGATATCTTGTCGATCTGGATGATAATCCTTTGAATAAAATGAACATACTATTAGTTTTTTGTAATGAATTTTTTTCTTAAAAAGGCACTCTCCATAATACTTTTAATCCCTTAATATGATCCTTTTTCTCAGCATTAAATGTGCTATTTCTTATTCTATAAAGAGATCATCATGGTGCTAATGAATTTAGTTCTTAAGAAAACAATAAATTTAGGGGGGAAAATAATAATTGAAAAAAACCAAACAAACAATGGCAAGGGTCATCAAAGCATGGTGTGTCTCTATAAGCACTTTTATTGGAACGCCAACACATCCATTTGTGTAAGTATTGTTTAAGGCAATCAAAAATAAAATTGTCATATAGCTGTTTTTATTCCAGCCTTGGGAAACCCTGTGGGCCAATTCTACTCTGTGCTGCATAAACTGGAATCGATTACATAACAACAGGGGCTGGATATGGGTGCTTTTGTGCTACAACTGTTGAGTTGAATGTTGCAACAAAAACTATAAATTCTAAAATATTTACTAGATGGCCTGTTTGTGGATTGACTGGTGTTCCCCTAAAAGGTAAACTGAAACCCTAACCCGTAGGACCTGCAAGCATGACTTTGCTTGGAAATAGGTTATTGGAAGATGTTATTATAACATGAGCTTATATTGGAGCAGGGTGGCATGTTCTCCTTTTAAAGAGAGCCACGAGGGGAGACAACCACCTGAAGAAGCATCTACAAGCCAACGGCCACAAGATGCTTCTGGGGTTCCTAGATGCTGGGAAGGGCATGAAAATGCTCCCCTCAGAGCAAACAGGGAAGGCATGTCCCTGAGGACACCCATCATTCATACTCCTAGCCTCCTGAAAGGTGCACTAATACATGTCTGTTCTTAAAGCATTGTAAAGTCAATTCAGGCAGAAGTAGTTAGGACGAAATGTAGCCTCTTATAATCTGATCTCCCCCTTGACCCATTTTAAAGCTGTTTCAGTTTAAGAAACGAAACAAAACCAAAAAAGTGAGGAGGAAACAAAGGTGGATTAAGCCCCTGATGACTTCCCCTCTGACCATGGACCTGGGCGGCTAGCATGCAGCGTGCATTGGGAAGCGGATTGTTGCAGATGCAATTAGGCTAAAATTTAGCACCCTATCTTTTTATCTCCCCTGTAATCCATTTAAATTTGTCCTAGTTTTAAATATTTTCTTTCTTTTCCATTGAGGTTTTTTTTTTTTTTGAAATGTTTTACATTTTGTTATCCTTGTTAGCTTAAAATGTTTTTCTGTATAGGAAATCCAGGATAGGTAAATCTATAGACAGTAACTGGATTAATGGTCTCCGGGGGATGTGGCAGGGGAGGTTGGTGAGGAAACGGGGAGTTAATAACGAAGAGCACAAATATGAAGAACTGTTCTAATGCCTATTGTGGTGGTGACTGTACAACCCTTCTTGATGTGACTGAGCCACTGAGTGGTAGGATATGTGAATTATATAATGCCAATATATACAATTGTCTGGAAGCGGGGGGATTCGGTTTTTATAAGATAACTTGTGGTACTTTGTTATGCAGCCCGTGAACCCTAGCCAAGAAAATAACGGAGTTCAAATTTAGGGTTAGGTCTACAACATGCTGATCAAAAATAAATAAATAAATAAATAAATGTTATTATCAGCTAGTACACCTAGAGAAGGGCAGAGGGTCATCAAAAAATAAATCAATACCCTCCCCTTGGGTGGGTTAGCGCCCTGTGCCCCCGCTACCCATTTCTTCCTTATTTTCATCATTTTTTTTTTGTTTCCTTTCCCCACCTCCTCCCCTGTTGTCTATCATGTGCATCCCTGCATTTGATCTGGTCCCTTCCATATTACCTGGTCCTTACCTCAAGAATGTTTGTATGTAGCAGCTTTAGGGTTTCCTCCCCGCTCCCACTACCATGACTCGAATCCTATCCTGCAAGACTGGCCAGACCAGAGGAGGTACACTGGTACAGATAGGAACTGAAAATACAGGGAATCCAGGACGGATGAGCCCTATAGGACCAGTGGTGTGAGTGGCAAAACAGGGAGGGTAAAGGGAGAATGGGTAGGGAAGAGGGAACCGATTACATGGAACTGTGTGTGACCTCCTCCCTGGGGGACAGACAACCAAAAAGTGGATGAAGGGAGACGTCGGACAGGGCAAGATATGACAAAATACTCATTTATAAACTATCAAGGGCTCATGCGGGAGGGGGGAGCAGGGAGGGAGGGGAAAAATGAGGACCTAATGTCGGGGGTTTAAATGGAGAGAAAATGTTTTGAGAAACGATGTACAAATGCGCTTTACACAATTGATGTGTGTATGGATTGGGATAACAGTTGTATGAGCCCCTAATAAAATGTTAAAAAATAAATAAATCAATCAGCCTTCACTGAGAGAGGCTGATACAGTGCCTTCAAAGACAATGAGGAGGGCGGGTAGGGCCGGGTTTCACTGTTGGACAGTGAACTCAGTGTCCCTCTGTCAACTCAGTGTCCCTAAGAACAGCATCAGCATTGAGCAGTTCTTTATTGTAACCCTATGAAGTAAGCACTTATCATTGATAGCTAAATGTTCCTTATCTATCGATAACACAAGATATTTGAAAATTCACTTAAGCTTTTGAAGAGTTTTCTATCACCAACACTGGGAAGGGGCAAATAGTTGGGAAAGCAGAAAGCAATTTTAATAGAACCTTAAATTAAAAAAACCTTGATAATTTTTTTTTCCGGGGGAGGGGGGAGGAGATAATAGGTTTCTGACTTCTAAAATAATTTCTTGGACAGCAACTGCTGAAATGTCACTCACTTACAGCTAACGTATTCTAAGTAACAGAAATATAAAGTAGTACCTCCATATGTCTTTCAAGTTCCTTTAGTAATGTGGGGTATTTATCTAGGCGCATAAATGGTTTGCTGAGGCCTGTGGTCAGCACAAGAATTCCGGGGTTGTTGGCACCTTTCATTTCCATAAATTCTCCCAATTCCTCACTGAGCATGGAACAGAACAGGGGTGGGGTGGGGTGAGACGTCTGTTGTTAGAATTAGTTCTCTTATTCCCATTAGCAATAATCAAGGCTTATGAACTAAAAGAGCACAATACACCATTTAATGTTTGGAAAGCTATAGCTTTTATAATAAAAAACACCAAAGGGGGTGTTGCCTAAAACACTTTGTTATTGCTCTCATTATCAGTAGCAGTTGCCTATAAAATAGAACACAATCTCTCCCTGTGAAATTCCCTTAAAGAAAAGGCTATTTTAAGTACTGTTATTTTTATAAAGATGTATCCAAATGTTGAAAAGTATGCATTCTCAGAACTCGAATGGATCTCAAATTCTAGAAAACTTCCAAATTTAAGAACTACAAAGGAGATGCTCAAATAAAAGAAGCCTTAGAGGTACAATGAATTAAGTCACAGTACTAACCCTATAGCTAGAGGTGTACAGGTTCAACAAATGTGGAACTGAAAGTCTACTGTATTCTAATTATTATATTTGATGAATGCATGATGTTGTTTCCTGGCCTTTAAGCAGTCACAATGTAGCAGAATAAAATCATTAATATTTGGCATTCAAAAAGCATTTTTTCCATCTTCATTTTATGTAATCTTTACAAATGGAGAGTAGAAAGCATATCCCCATATACAAAAATCAAAGACTTTTAAAACAATTATTCAGTATTTCACCATTCTCTTTCACTATCATTTTCATCACATTACTTTCAACTTTTACTGTCAACTAATACTCATGAGGGTCTATATTTTCTTTTCAACTCTAAACTAAAAGTCATACAATGTTTACTCTGTCCCTGTGTGCGGTATTGGGGGGACTGGGAACCAGAGGGGGATAGGGAGGCACTCTAACCTATCCAATGGGGGGAAGGCAGGCTCCAGAGAGTGTCAGAGGCCTTGGGACTCAGGGGCATCCTGAGAAGGGTGGCTTGGGTGTGGCCTATTTTTTTACGCAAATTATATTTGCCCTGAGAGTTCAAATTCAACAGTCTAATGTTTAGGATGATTACAGAAAAGTGAGAAGTACAATTGTGGAAATCAAGCCCAGAGACAAGGATTTGATCTCAAACACGATCATTAACAATTTTCTCTCAAGTCACTTAGGGGCTGAAATTCTTCATCTTTCCCTTGTAGAGCAGATGGTCTCTTGGCTAGAACCAAGAGTCTGCATTAATCACTCACGAAACCCCACTGCAGACATCTGGAACTGAGGGAACAAACGAACAACACCTGAGTTCATACCAGCTAAAGTTACCAGTGTAACAGACTAGAAAGAGCCCAGCCTTTTGGTCAGAAGACCTGGCTTTGAATCACAGCCATGCCACTTGTCTAAACTAACAATTTTGCTAGTCTTGAGTTGTTTTTTGTTGTTGTTGTTGTTTTTTTTTAAGGAAAACATACTTTTATCTCTCAGTATTCTACATATCAAAATCTAAAATACATAAGAAAATTCAGGCATTACGCATGATAAATAAATCTGAGCCTCAGGCATCCCGTTCCTTCTCCATCTACCTCCAGTTTGCCCCACACTCAAGCTTCTTGGGAAAATCAGACATAGTTAGGAGTTCCTGTAAAATATTTAAGGTTTTAAATATCAGTCTGAAATGAAATTCATAAACTACTAATGGATGAGCCGTAAACACATAAGACTTCCATAGAAGGTTACTTCTGCCTAAACATCCTGGCATAAAAACAGGTGATCTCATTAAGCAAGGTTCCGGCATTTAAAGCCAGAGTACATTTCTGTGCTGTGTATAAGATAGACCAAACTCCTCATAAATCCACTATCTCATCGTACATTTTGCATTTACAGCAACTTTGAAAACATTCTCAGGCCATGATGGGCTGCTCAGGCTGTCCTCTGCAGCGCATTAGCACTGATACACGGAAGGTCTCGAAGACGACTAACCCACACAGGGACGGCAGCAGAACAGCCATGGGATCCATCCCTGTGTCTTCCACAGTCAGCCAGGCCACAAAGGGCCTGGGAGCAGGCGGGGGTGACTAGGGATCAAGGGCAGGCAGAAGGAGGCTAGGCGAGGGCTCAAGTGTGGAGAAGGTTCAAGGGAGGAGGTAGGAAGAGGGGCACATAGAGGTAAGAGATGGACTTAGGACAGGCAGCTGGGGGGATACCACTACCACCCCCAAGTCCCACTGCCTCCATGGTGCTGGGGAAGGAGGGCCACCATTACATGTATATCTGGAGACGCACGTAGGTAGGTACCTGTGTAAGATAAGGTGACCAGATTTTAACACTGGTAAAGCGGGACACCATTGATAAAACTCATATCCTGCGAAATAGCCACATGGCAGCCGAAAACCGTATACCCTAGATTGCCGTGCATTCTTTCCAAAAATCGGGACTTTTTTGAAACGCCGCGGGACACGGGACAAATTGTTAAAAATAAGGACTGTCCTGCCAAAGGCGGGACGTCTGGTCACTTAATGTAAGAGAGACTGTGGGAGCACAGTGGTGTCAAAATGGAAAATGGCCCCAACTCTTGAGTAACACTAATTTCCCAGAATGGGAACCTAAATGTTTTGTTAAGTGATGGGTGGGCGTGAGAGTCACATAATTTCATGTCAACTTGAAGATATATATTAAATGTATGGGTGGTATTCAACCTGTCAATCAGGTTACAACCTGATGGGCGTGGCCCTCCCTGTGGGCATGGCCTTCTCATAAGGAGGCCCTGGGACACTTCCCCTCTCTGCCTTCACCTTCCTGGTGGAGACACACTCAGGGACTGCCAGAGCACTGTGATGTTTATACGCCACTGAATCCACAAGACTGTACACACACCGGCCTAGCATCTGCCTGCATTTTACATCATTGCATGTGGCTGCGTGAGTCTGAAGAGGGCTTTAAGGACTAGTATCAGACTTAAGGAGTTGGGAGTGGGCTGGGATGGTTTCTTGATACATAGCTATCTCTTGATATAAAGCTCTCTCTTACACACATCTGAGTGTCACTGTATTTATTTCTCTGGTCAACCCAGCCTAAAGCAGTGGTTGCACAAGAACAATTTGGTTAATGTCACCTAGTATCTTGGTAGAAAAGACCCTGCATGAATTATATTTAAAGAGGTAACACACATATTATATAGACAAGGAAACCATGTTTAACTCCACTAGCATTCTGAACAGGATGATTGAGTTAAAATTTAAACACAGATCTGACCCAAAGGCTCCATAAGTATAACCGGTTGTCTTATAAATTCATAGCATCTTGTGCTATGAATATATTCTTTATCAGGAAAGTCAGCATACAAAGTCTTGTTCAGAAAATGCTCATCTACTGAACTACTAGATATTCATTGTATCAATCCCCAAGGCCTGAACAGAGTGGAATGATGAATTTAGACATGGAAAGTTTTATTTTACTAGCATTTCCCTAAATTTTGAATAATTTATCTGATATAGTCCGAAATAATCAAACGTGATGATATCAAAAGAGTACATGAGCTTCTTTAAATATAATCCACCCAAGGGCCTTTTTTTTAACCAAGAGGAAAATCCACTCAATTATTAGCACTTCTGGATTATATTTGGGATTTTAATAAATATGGCTATGGTAGAGAAAAAACTTTATAGATGATTGTGCTGGTTTCTTTTGTTTTTTACTTAGTGCCAAAATAAAGCAGCTGATTACAGTTATTTTGACAATAACAATGGCCCTTTCAGTTTACTTCATTTCTACTGATGCTAGCAACCCTTCTACAGTGTATCTCCTCTCTGTGCACTGCAATGACACTGTAGGCTGCAAAGAGTAACAAAGGGAGCACACATAGAAAAGACTATCATTTAGTCAAGCAAAAAGTAACAATTAAACTGCTGGAGGAAAAACAAAATGCATTTTTTTTACAGGCTAAATTATAAAACCTATAATTCACTCAAAATAGTCATGAGCATAGGTGTCTATTATTGTAGGGTGAAGCAAAAGGTACACATCAGATACAGTTCTACAGAATTGGTGATTCTGCATAGGCATTAGAAGAACTCATACCTAGAATTTAAATCAAGCCAAAGGACAGAGAAATGGCAAGTATGGCTTTTCAACTTCAAAACACTATATCCAAATTAATTCCTAACATTTATATTCAAGCACAGAAATAAACTAAGCTACCTTCATGCCTTGGGACTTTTAAATTTTAAGGAATGTAGAGAAGCAAGAGGTTACAAGTCAAAAGCCTAAGTATAAAAAAGGAGTGAACATTAAAAGAAATGTTCAGTCAAATGAAATCCCACTCCCAAGTCACCGACTCACGTTTCCGAAGAGGGATTTGATTTGTAGTAGACGGAATGGGAACTCTCACTGCTCGGAGGTCTGAGCAGGGCACACAGGCACCGCATCCCGCCTGACATCTGGGCCCTCGCTGGCACCCTGAGGGACTCTCGTTTTATGGCTCAAAATCCCAGAGCTGAATTCTAACGCAACTTGCTCCAAGACTGTAGCTCACAGGATGACCTAAGTCCACCCACTTCCAAACTCTGGATTTACCAAGGGGCGGAGGTAACAAAGAGTCTCCAGATTCAGAAACTTATCTGCATTCTTCTAACTGCACACATTTTCAGAAAATGCCGTGCTTACGTTTCAGAGATGACACAAAGCCATGATTAAGGTAATGGTGCAGAATAAAGGCAGCGCATACTTGACAAGGATTTCTCTTTTGAGTCTTAACATTTTAGGATATGTAATCAGTTCACTTCTTTAAAATGCCATCTTTTAAGAGCTTTACTTTCACTTCTCAGGAGAAAAATCTTTGACTTCCCAAGTCCACTTTCTACTCTTCTACTTCCCCATTCAATATTCTTCTCTTCTAATCCTCCCTTAGAGAATATTAAAAATAAAAAGGAATAGAAATAAAGAGGGGGAGAAAGAAAACAAACTTTTACAGTCGCACTCTCCTACTCGATGTCTCCCCCCCCACTGCATCAACTGTTCCTAAGTAACTTTCAGCAGTACAAACTGAACACTGGCCTTTTATAGAAATTCCATTTAACCTATAAAAGCCAGGAATAGGTAGTATAACATATAATTGAATATGTGCTTCCTAATTTAGGAAAGACACGATCTCCTTCCAGGAAGAAGAATGGAAGAGGGAGACCAAAATTGGCAAAAGGTTTGAAAAACTTCCTTTTCTTTGACTATGGTGTATTCTAACCTTTTTTTTATTACCTTGCCAAAGGCTGTTGCTTTATTTCAGGATTAAAGATGCTTTTAGACAAATGGGAAGTTATAGCTTTTTTTTGAACAGTTAGCGCTTAAATATAATGAAAAATCAATAAATGTTCAGGACCTCTTTTTCATCTTAAATAGAAGATAACAAAACAACCAGCATTTATTGAACATTTCCTGTGTTCATATCAGACATATCTGCTTACCACTTATAATAACTGTATAAAAACTGCACTTTCGGGACTGGGAACTGTGACCCAGGAGTAAGGTAATTTGCCCAAGCCCCGACAGCTTCAAAGATGCAGAGCCAGGGTTTCCACCCAGGTCTAATGGATTCCAAAGGCACCCAACTTAATGATGATGCTCACAAAATCCACCACTCCAACGGAATTTCTAAACATTTAAACAATGGCTGTTCATGCAAAGAGTTAAGTTTTAAGTGGAAATATTTTGTTGAAAGTAAGTAGCTCTTAATATAGAAGCATAGTGCTTTTATCTTAACGCTAAGAAAAGAGCATTTCTGTTTATGGTTTTAATAGTTTTGAACCGCGATTTCAGAAAGAGAACACACATTTATTTCTAAAGTACCCATACGTCTCTTTGAGAAGCAGAACCTGAGTCTTTGTTCTTTGTAAGCGCGCCTAGGTGCGACAGAACTGGAGTCTGTCTCCACGCCTGCACTTAGGTGCTCATGAGCCACTCCTCAGCAGTGGTGGCAGCTGAGCCATTTCTCAGGAAGCAGGTGCCACACAGAGCTTCTCTGCACTGCCCCTCTTGTAAGACGAGTCAATCGTCTGTGCGTGCCTTTCCCTTTCACATGCTTGTTCCAATCAGAAGCAACAATTAAAAGCTAGTGGTTTCTTCCAATGCTTCAGCTTTAAATCCTACACTAGCCTTAAACAGGGCACTTTCTCCTACAACATATCTAGAGGAGGCCTGAGGGCTTCCAGGATGGTGAGCTGAGGGCAGTATGAGTCCAGCAGCCTGGACTGAGTTTGCCACCACCTTCCAGGATGCTTACTAATTCTTTCAAGCCATTTTCCAAAGTCCTCCAGGATGAAGAATTCACTTCACACGAGCTTTATCTTTTGCACACACACAAACACACAAACGCACACACACACGCTTGCTAATCAACATTTCAAAGACTCCTTTTCAGTATTTCTCTGGAACCAATTTTGAGAGACAAGTTTTACAACTTCTCTTTTAGTGATCAAATGAATACTAAGAACGTATTTGACATAATACTTGAGGGAAAGAGGTGTCTTATAAGGTTCCCCAAAGGTCTACCTGTGATCTGGAAATGTCTAAATGAACATACCTGTGTTCTGTGAGAACATTAACTGCAGACGGGTGATTGGCACAATACGCAAGGTACAGAGTCTTCATTTGTGGCATAAGGTTTAAGAAGCAGCCCCCAACTCTCTGCTGAGCTTCAGGCAACCTGAAGAGGTGCAACACAGACAGGCAAAATCGCTTTACACACAGAAGGAAAGTTAAGCTAACATGTTGAGTGAATCTCAGAATTTGGTACAACACAGACAGGCAAAATCGCTTTACACACAGAAGGAAAGTGGTTAAGCTAACATGTTGAGTGAATCCCAGAATTTACGTCCTCATACTATAAATTAAAGATGGAGGTGTAACTACATTGTACAAAGCAATGCCATTCAGTCGTGCACTAATTTCCAGTTTTCTCAAGTATTCATTCATACAAGGACTAGGGCTTGTAACCCAGTTGAACTCCCAAATCAACAAGATGCTGTGAACCCTTAAATTCTGCATAAAATAAAAAGAACTATAAAGTGTGATTATTTGACCTGTGAGATCTTTTTACTTCATAATAGCGTCAAGACAGGTGTGTACACACACATGCACCTATGAGAGTGATGTTTCTTCAAGCCAGCATCCAAGGTTAAAAGTATATGAGATTCTCCTTTCTGATCTCCCATGGGTATGGCCCTTAAGGCACCTAGATTTGAGACTTTGAGACTCCAAAATTGTGAGAAGAGATTTTGGTTGCTGGAAGCCACCTAGCTTGTGATACTTTGCAGCCCTTGAGAATGAAGAAATATTAGGTTTTTTCACTTCCCCAAACCCAACTATAAAGATATCAAAAGTAATTTTTTTAAAAAGGTATAAACTCATAAGAACAGAAAGAGATCATAAAAATAATCTTTTGGAAGCTGGACGGCATCTGGATGTATGCTAATAATTTGTAAGACTCAACCAATCTGAATCTGAAGGCAGTGAGAAAAGCCAACAAGAACCTATGCAGCTCATACAAAGACTCCCAAGTCTTAGGAGCTCCTAAATACTGGACGATTTTCTGCTCCATAAAAAGTCACAGCCCCCGAAACTCACCAGGGCAGCTCTACTCTGCCCTCTCGGGCTGCTGCGAGTCGGAATGGACTAGAGGGCAGTGAGTGAGACAATTGGGGTTAAGAGTGGGACTAAAAACAGGAAATGGGCTGGGTGTTTGTTTAAGCTGCAGGGTCCTCCTAGCTCTGTGCCTCCTTCCCACTCAGCAGCGGAGTAAAGGTTCGTTCTTTAGTGAAATGAAACAGAAGGGCCAAGGATCATCGTGGTAGCTGCAAGCAGGGTTCGTGCATTGAAAACAGGGAACTGAAGAAGGCATTTATCTCCCTCCCCCCAAATCCCAAGTCTTGGTTGCCCACAGCCAATGACTATCATCAATGCAGGCTGAACCAAAAGCCATGGACTGTTGGGGGAAGCTGTTTGAATTGGGCCAATTATATTTATCAGAGGTCTCAATTTTCTTATTTATAAATAAAGATATGTCATCCTAGTTCCAAGAACTGTTATAAAGGTTAAAGGAGATCAATGCTATGTGAACTAAAAACATTATGCAAATGTAAAGAATTGTGATTTTTAAAAAAGATTTTAAGTTATAGCATTATTGTTGCTAATGAGCAAAGTATGTGGGTCGAGCAGAAAACCTGTCTTTTGTCACCATTCCTTGACTCTGAAAATACACACAGGACACTATTACTTAAGGTTAAGCAGTTTGTTTAAGGTTAGGCAGTTTATCCAGGTAGCCAGGGTTCTTACTGAGCTCATTTTATGAGTAAGACTGAGAAATCAAACCAGATTGTTTCCCACAAATGGACAGGAGACCTACTACTGGAGAGCAAGCAGTTGGCGGCCCTCCCTGAGGCCTTTACACACCTCCAAATTCCACCGCTGATGCCAAAGAACTGACTAATAGCTGAGGCAGCTAGTTCTTTTCCCAGTTATGCTAATCACTAGCCAGGGAGAGATGCAAAGTGAGGGAAGAAAGAAAAAAGAATCCAGAAGTCTCTTTACTTCTACTTCACAAACTATCTACTCCAGGACTCCTGAATGAATTCAATCCTTAAGATGATTAAAGGTTTTAAGGGAGACGGCATGACAGGACCGTGAACTGACAAAGGAATAAACAGATCTGTCCTGGAAAAAGTAGTCAGAAGGCTCCTTAGAAGCAAGGCTGGCAAGACTTTGGCTCCTGTACTTTGGATGTGTTATCAGGAGTGCTCAGTCCCTGAAAAGAATATCAAGCTTAGGAGAAGAGGATGATCCTGACAAGATGAACTGACCCAGGGGCTGCAACAATGGGCTCACACGTAACACCTGCGCAGAACCCGGCAGTGTTTCCTTCTGTTGTACACACGTGTCGCCACGAGTTGGGACCAATGGCACCTAACAAGTGGCACGACCTATTTAACATGCTATATCTAATGAACCAAGCAGTGAGGTTCATAGTTTTCTAACCACCTCCATTTGTTTCCAGTATATAAAGACAGTACTGATGTTGTTGGTAGCAGGTGCTGTCACGTCAGTTGTGACTCATGGCTGCCCTCGGCACAACAGAAGGAAACCCTGCCTGGCCTAGGGCTCTCTTCACAACCACCGCTCTGGCAGGCCACTGCTGCAGCTGCCGTGCCCATGCAGCTCACTCTTCTACCCTGACAGTCTACTTTACAGAACATGACATCCTTTCCTGAAGGCCTAGTCTTCCGGATCATGTGCCCAAGGTACCTGAGACAGATGTGTTCCCTCTGGTATATTCAACATGCTTCCTCAACACCAAAATTCAATTCTTAAGAGTTCACAAGTAAATTCAGTTAGATTCTTTTCCAGCCTCCCTTATTCAATGTCATGTTTTTGATGCATAGAAACTGACTGAAAATGTCACTGTGCTCATCAAGTGTACCTACCATCATCCTGAAGCTAACATCTTTGATCTTTAACATTTTATAAGTCTTTAGCAACAGATTTGTCCAGGGCAATATAGCATTTAGTATCCTGACTGCTGCTTCTATGGGTGTTGATTTGGGATCACAGTAAAATTAATTCTTGATCATTTCAATATTTCCCCATTTATCAAGATATTATTTTTTGGTCCAGTTGTATGGATTTTTGGTTTCTTGATTTTGAGATGTAATCCACATTGAAGCCTATAATTTTTACCTCCATGAGGAAGTACTTCAAGTCTTCTTCACGTCCAGCAAGCAAAGTTGTGCTGTCTGCATATCACAGTTTACTGAGTCTTCCTCCATTGCCATGGACTTTGTCATGTAGTTCAGCTTCTTGGATTATTTTGCTCAGCAGATTAAATTAGTATGGTGACAGTATACAACTCCGACACATACCTTTCCAAATTTTAAACCATAAATTACCCCTTTGTTCTGCTCCAACAACTGCCTCCTATTCTTGTTGCAGGTTCTGCGTTCTGCAATTCCCGTTCTTCAAAATGTTCTCTCTAATTTTTAATGATCTATACAGTTTAATCCCTTTGCATAGTCACTAAGATGCATTCTGCTTTGAGCCGAAATCAACCTGACAGCAACAATATCCCTCATTTCACATCCAGTTTGAAATCCTGACAGTTCTGGGTCAAAGTATTTCTGTAACCATTTAAAAGCTACCTTTGGCAAAACTTTACTTGGGTGTGATATTAACAATACAGTTTGAAAATTTGCATATCCTGCTGGATCGCAATTCTTTGGAACGGACATTTTGAGAACAATGTGGATTTTTTTCAACCAGTTTTGGCACAGCCGAGTGAGCACCTCCAGCACTGCACCTGGACGTCTTCCTTTAATGCCATCACCGCTGGATAATATGCTGCTTCTTCAAACACTTGGCCATCACCCAGTTCCTTTTAGCACGGTGACTGCGTATTCCTTCCATCCTCCCTGAATGCCTTCTGTTTCTTTCAATATCTTGTCCATAGAATCTTTCACTGTTACAACCCAAGGTTTGACGGTTTTCTTTATTTCTTCCTACTTGAGAAATGCTGAGGCATTCTTCCACTTTGATTTTCTAACTGCCGGTCTTCGCCCATTATAATTCTTTGTCTTCTTGAGCTTACTTTGTAAGCTGTTTTACTCTATAATTTCTTTGCTTTAATTACTACTCTTTTTTTCAACAGCAGGTTCAGAGTCTTTGGGTATCCATTTTGGTCTTTTGCTTTTGACTCCTGCCGCAACGACTTTCTTCTTTCTTCAGGGATGATGTTTTCCATGTCATCCTAGAGCTCCTTGGGTCTCTTGTCCTTAGCACCCAAGCCATCGAATCTGTCCTTTAAATTCAAGTGAGAGACACTCGAGGTTGTACTTTGACTCTCGTGGACTTGTTTTAATTTTCTTCTGCTTCAACCTGAACTTACATTTGAGCAACGAATGGTCTCCTCTGAAGTGTGCCCTGGTTTTGAGTCTTCCTACAAACACAGTCAGTTTGATCTGTGCATACAAACCGAGGAGTTCCATGCGTATAGTTGCCATTTTTGTTTTTGGAAAACGTATTTTTTAAAATCATTTTATTGGGGGCTCATACAACTCTTTTCACAATCCATACATAGATCCATTGTGTCAAGCACATTTGTACATTTGTTGCCATCATCATTCTCGAAACA